AAGTAAATAATTGTTAATTTTAATTTTATTGTTCTTTCCACGACAAATAACAAATTATTTATTTTTTATTATTTGATATGAAAAGAACAATAAAGTTAAAAATGATAATTATTTGATTATATTGGGTCATCTAAAAAGTATCCGCGGTTTTTTTGTCACTAGATGTGTGTTGATGGTCATATATCTACTGACAAAGTACCGCGGATACTTTTCAGATGACCCAATATGTATAAAAAAAATATTTAAGCAATTCACTTGAAATAATTAATTTATTAAATTGATTAAGTAATTAATTAATTAATAATTGATTAAATAATTCTATGCACGTTAATAAAATACAATCCATGCTGTTTAATAAGTTAATTCGCGATTAAATCAACCGACAGAATTACTTAAAATAAAATTTTTATCGAATGTAATATATTATATGTTTCTAATTTTATTTTCAAAAATGATAAAAAATAAATAAATTCACAGAAAAATATTCACAAAAAAAAATCAATGTTTTATTAGTGATTAATTTAACCAGCAGAATTTCCTAAAGCAAAATTTTATATGATTACGTAATTGTTGTCTCTAATCTATAATAAATTTTCTTTTCCATCTATAATAAAAAAAAAATAATTCTATCATGATAGCAAAACAGTTGATACAAATGTCAATTGAATAAATTATTTCCCAGATAGCAAGCTGATGTTATTTGTCATTTTAATGTCAAAATAACGTTTTTAATGTTTACGTGAAATGATGACACATACCTATGGGTTGCTCAAATTAATTAGAGTTAGGTTCCAAGTCTAAAATTATACAACGTTTTTCGTATTTGTATATATAAAAAAAGAAATATAGATGTATGTATAAACCGAGAATAGAATCTATTTCAAATGAAATCCATTTTAAATCTTCTTCCACTCCTCCCCCCCCCCGCACACACACACACACACACACACCACACATTTATAATGTAGATTTTATACCAAATTTCAAATATATAAAATATTTAAAAGTTTCTTAAAGTTTATAGATATTTGTCAAGTATTAATGCTAAATCTAAAGAATAATAAATTTTCGTAATTTTTTATAAACCAGAATATTTACCTCATGTGTAATATGAATAGAGAAATCATATGTCGATATAATGTAAGGAGTGCCATGTTGCTGCATTTTTCATATTAAACATGCGACTGATTGATTTTTCTATGTATGCGCGGCTTCATGATTATATGTAAATCCATTTGGATTTACATAAAGGTCTCGAAGGGTGAAAGAATATTTTCGAAGAACATTTTTATCCCTAAGTATTTATTACGAAATTGTTTGTTATTTTCGTTATAAAAAAATTTTTTTATAACAAAAAGAAAAAAATGAAAAGATGTCAAAATAAATATAATTTAAAAACTTAATATCTATTGAAGATTCTGAATAAAACAATGATTATTTGTAACTTGAAATACAGTTTAAAAAGTTTTTTATTTGTACAATATTTCTTATTTTTATGTGATTAACAAATTTTTATGTAGATTTTATACCAAATTTCAAATATATAAAATATTTAAAAGTTTCTTAAAGTTTATAGATATTTGTCAAGTATTAATGCTAAATCTAAAGAATAATAAATTTTCGTAATTTTTTAAATTACATTTCCGTCTAATTTATTAATAATAATATCTTATTACATTTATATACTAATAAATAACTTATATACTAATAAATAACTAAAATTAAAAAATAATAATTAATTAAAAAGCGTTTTTCTCCCTCTTACATTTTACTATATAT